ATACTAATTTTTTCCTATACAAATTTTACCATATGGTTAGTAAATACCGCCGACATTCGTCTAGGAAGCTGCTCCAGCTGCACCAGACAGCGCCAGAACAGAACTCGACGAGCTCTATCGATCAGTAACTTTGGATTTTCAATAGCTCAAATCATTCGTGAAAAAATTTCAAAATAGTAACTTTTCACCATGTGAATCTTACCATATGGTTAGTAAATCCCGCCGATATTCGTCCAGGAAGTTGCTTCAGACAGCTCCACAATAGAACTCGACGATTTCTATCGATTGGAATTAGTAGATTTTCCATAGCTCTAAGTATGCGTTCTAAAATGCGAAAAGATTAGTTAAATATTACAATTTATATAGTAAAATTATCAGGGATTCCTTCAGGAACATGTTCCAGATGTTTCATTTGTGTTCCAAGTACAACTCGATGAGCTCTGTTTAATGGTGTAATCAGATGTTCCATAGCCCAAACTATAGTTGTAAAAATCTGTATATCGACTCGATTTTGCTAACCATATGGTAAGACTTGCATAGTGAAAAATTAATATTTTGGGATTTTTTCACAAATCGTTTGAGTTATGGAAAAGCCAATGTTACCAATCGATAGACCTCATCAAGCTCTACTTTGGAGCTCTCTGGCGCAGCTGGAACAGCTTCCTGGACGAAAATCGGCTGGATTTACTCGAATATGAGGCTAACTTCACTTACGTTAGCATCTACTATCCGTCAATACTCACACCAAACACATCCGTATGACTCAAACACCGAAACCCAGAGTAAGGCCAACAGCCATCATCAACCATACCACAAACCCTCATCCAAACCGCACACCAATAACCAACTCACATGCGCTCACACATCCACGGCAACTTTGGATCCATATTTACAAACCTGCATCCTAACTAGCTGGTTTTTCTACATTCAAAAGCGTTATCTGTTGACAGCCAAATATCGAAAATCTATGATTGACTCAATACTGAATACCAAAAGCCGGTACTTTACTGCGTTTGATTAATACAGAAATTTCATAGGCCAAGCAAGGGGGAAACAGCGGACTTCAAGACTTCGACAGACTTCAACGGACTTCAACCATAGTGGCTTCATATTTTCATAAGACTTTAAAAGACTTCATAAGACTTCCTAAGACTTCATATGACTTCCAAGGACTTCACGGATTTTGTGAGACTTCACAGACTTTGTAGGACTTCTTGAGACTTTATAAGACTTCATCAGACTTCACAAGACTTCATAAAACTTCACAAGACTTTGCCAGACTTCATAAAACTTTGTAAGACTTCACAAGACTTCGTAAAACTTCACAAGACTTCGCTAGGCTTCACAAAACTTCATAGGACTTCACAAGACTTCAAGAGGCAGATTCTATGAGTATCAAAAAACCTTATAGAAATTACATGAAACTTCTATAACATGCAAAAAGCAAAACTTATCATATAGAGATTACAAAAGTGTTTCTTGTTTCTGAGAATTGTTTCTCGCAGTATATCCATATCTAGAATAAAGATGTGACAATGACACAAAGCGTTGATGAAATTAAAACTGAGACAATAAACCTTACTGGTACGCGTATAGTTGATTCGATTAATCCAACATTGAAAAACTCCTATTTTCACCCAGACGAGCAAAAAATAAGGGGCGATGCCCGACATGACTAGTCGTCTTCACGAGCAACATCTTGCATCTAAAATAGACTAGTCCAAAACATGCTCTAATCTTGTCATGGCTAGTCCATTTTGTATGTGCATACTGTTCAGACGCGTCAACTTGAAGGCAAAAACTAGAAGAAACGGAGGCGATAGGTAGATTCGAACATTCAAGCCGACAATATTGGATTACCTGACTAGTCTGAACTGGTTTCAATGGGTAACGTGGACTAGTATCAAGAGTCATCTATATCGGTCATGACTAGTCGTTTTCGAGAAAGTAATGCCAATTCTGGTCCAGGCTAGTCTATCCTTCCAAACAGTCTTTATTGCTTGGACTTAATCATTCGAACAATTCGTTTAGACTAATTCATATTGGGATTAGAACGATGTATCTAACGAGAGTTGGCTATTTATGTTCTTTTAAATTTTTACATCGTAATAACAATTAAGAATAATTTTATTCGAAAAATTAATTTTAATGCTTTGATATGAGAATATTATTTTATTTCAATAGAAAACCTAATGATTTGAATTTAAAAATGCTTTTAAACGATAGAATCATAGTTCATTTTCAAATTTAAATAGGAAATATATTAAATTAAGATAAACATAAACCATGAGATGAAAAGCAAGATCTTTTTTTGAAATATATATTATTATTTTGATTTTGATTTAAATTTTAATTATTTTTTCTAATAGAAAATAATTTTTTCCAAATGTCGATAATCAAAAAAGAATTCTGTTGAAGGAAATTAAAAAAATTTTGAATTAATTGTGCTTAGCTTTATTTAACTAATTTTCAATTTTATTACAAGTAGTTTTTATAAATATTAAAACTTGAGAAAACGCTGAGTCAAACTGTAGTAATTAGTATCTTCAGATGTGTATTGATATGTAAAAGTTGATCACTAGATAATATGGCTCAATCGGGTAGACGACGAGTAAGTAACGCATTGTATGCATATACGAATGTAACTTTCTGCACATATTTCTATCATTTAGACTAGTCCGAACTAGACCGCTACATAAGACTGAAACCTAATAGATGTTGCGTCACAGGCGCTCTGCTTTTTTTAATTTAAAATCTATTTTCGGATGGGATGCCCAGACGAGGTTAAAGGTTCCAAACCATTTTGGACTAGTCATGTAGTAGGACTTTTTGAGAAAAAGACTACACATGACGTATAGTCAAGACTAGAAAAATGACTAGTCTTTTTACCCGTCCTTTGCTCGCTTGGGCAGGTGCAAATAAATAACCAGACTAAATTTATACACAAGCAAACGGCTGGCTGCTTATTGACCGACAAAGCTAGCCGTTTATCGCCTGATAGATTATCACGAGTGATAGAAACAAACAAAAAGGAATAAAATTCTTCATAAGACTGACATTCAATAGATGGAACATTTCTTATAAAAATAAATCACTTCATTCAAAAAGCATTCAGTTATTAACTATCATGTTTTCTAAGATCCAACAAACTTGAGTTTTTTTCCAGCACATTGAAAAAAAAATAAAAAGTTCCCCTTTCTACTAAAATAAGACCATCGAAAACAAGACAATTTCATTGGTTTCTTATGAATTTTCATGCACTACCCAGGTCAAAAAATCTGATAGCAGATCTTGTACGAATATATGAAATCGTACAAAAAATCGCAGTCTCTGAAATCTTACATAAATTCTTACTGCAAGATTTCTATCAGATCCTACCGTCGCATACGATTTTCTAAGATCTTACAGTAAGATTTGGCAAGACAACAAAATCCGTCAAGAGTCTTACAGTAAGAATTGATGTCAGATATCAGAGACTAAGATATTTTGTACGGTTTGGTATGAAGTGTACAAGATCATACATGATCAGACACAGAACCTTGTCCGATCTTAGTATCTGATTGTTTGCTCTGGGATAAATGTATTTCAAAACTTCCAGAAGTATTCATGAGACTTCATTAGACTTTATGAGACTTCATTAGACTTCATGAGACTTCATAAGACTTTATGAGACTTCAGAGACTTCAGGAGACTTTGTGAGACCCCATAAGACTTCAAGAGACTTCAAGTCACTTCAGGAGACTTCGAAAGACTTTCAAGACTTCATGAGACTTCACGGCTGAAGTCTCTGCTGTTTCCCCCTTGGGGCCAATATCATTCAACTAATTAGAGCCTGAACAAACATATCAACATCACAAGACGGATCATTTCGATACGAAGAATAGTGTTTCAAGCTAAATAGACAGTATATTCAAGCATTTATTTTCTCAATATCTTTGATGGACCTTTCTTGACAAAACTCGATTTTTATTGGTTCTTGGATCACCGTTAAGGTTCCGCAGAAAATCGGACACAAAATCGAGCTTCGCGCCTTGGATCACCTATACACAGCAATTTTCCGAAAAATTCGATATCTATTGGTCTCTGGCCGGGCAACAGAGTTTTCGGTAAAACGGAACTTCGATTCGAACCCCCCCCCCCCCGCATTGAATAACCTATAGGAAGCAATTTTTTCGAAAAACTCGATTGCTATTGGTTCCTGGTCCACCAATCAGATGCTAGACAAGCAGACGAATTTCCGTGGTGAAGACTCATCTTTTCAGAATTGAGAATAACAAATGAAAGTCTCCTAAAATTTGATTGGTCCATTTTTCAACCAATCAGATTGTGAGATTCTATTTCTAAGTGATATGTAAGGCGGAGCCTCCCACATATACCCCTCATTCAATAGAGCGCCCCCGATAACCCTAGGATCGGCCTGAACATGACTAACACTTATCCTGATAATAAGTAAGAAAAGGCCTCCTGAAATCTCATTGGTCTATTTTTCGACTAATCAGATTGCGAAATTCTATTTCTCGGTGATATGTAAGGCGGAGTCCCCCACATATACCCCTCATTCGATAGAGCGCCTCTGATAGCCCTAGGGTCGGCCCAAACATGACTAGCGTTTGTCCTGATAATAAGAAAGAAAAGTCCTCCTGAAATCTGATTGCCCCATTTGTCAACCAATCAGAAACCGGACAAACATACGAATTTCCATTGTAAAAACTCCATCCTTTCAGGATTGAGAAAAACGTCTACCATTGAATTTCTAAGACGATGTTTTTTTGATCTTTGACCCTGCCACAAACAAACAAACAGACGCTTTTTTTGCATATGATCCTCCCTTCAGTCGAGGGAATAAGAAAGACATTTTATAAAATGAATATATTTGTAGGATAAGATCAACAATGAAGAACAATCCACTATCATACGTTCGCTCTTTCAGTGAACCATATCAGAACTATGGTTACACGGGGTATGCAGATAATGAGACACCGAAACTCATCGCACCAACTATGGCAAGTAAGAAGAAGGATTTCCATCGTCGAAACTTATTTGAAGCTGAACAAAAAATCAATCGATCAGAACAAGAAATAGCAGTCATTAGTGAAATTTTACAACAATCATCATTCACTCGAGGGAAGTCTATCAATGAAAATGAGACTATCGATCAACATATCAATATTGTCATCGAACAAGTATCTTCGCATACGATCATTGAAACTGGTATAACACATTCTAGAGTGAAAACTAGCGGTCAACGGGTACGTTGGAATATTCTAGTTAATCTTCTTGTATGGCTCGTTATTACATTTCCATTTTGGATTCCATTTCTTTCAAACCAAGTTGCTTACTATATGATAGCATCGATTCAAGGTGTTTTCGTTTTCATGTGGACTAGTAAGACAACTTGAAAATGCTTTCATTCTTGTAAATGATCTAAATAACTCTGACTTTTCTAGTTATTGCAATATTGGCTGTGAAAAATGTCTTCATTTTGTATGCCAATCGCACGTATAATTATACAGAAAATATCACTAGTCTCGAAAAAACACGCATTCGTCATATTGTTGCTATTAGTTGTTACAAAGAACCACTCGAAGTGATTGCAACAAGTATTCAATCGGTGGCCAATCAGACTGAAGTACATCGAATAATCATGGTGATCTCCTTCGAAGAGAAAACACTTGATAAAGAAGAGAAATGTAAATGTTTAAATAAAAGATTCAAAGATGCTGGATTTGAGAGAATCATATTTACAATTCATCCATATGGTTTGCCAAACGAAATTCCAGGTAAATGTTCGAATTCGAATTATGGTATTCGAATGGCTGTTAGTCAAATGGATGTTGCTGATGATGATATGGACAATATTCTTGTGACATCATGTGATGCTGATTCAAAATTTCCACCAAATTATATTGCAGCATTAACTTTGAAATATCTACAAGAGAATAAACCAGCATTAACTACGCTTTATCAATCACCTTTGTTTTACAATTGGCATTTGGATGGTTTATCATTTGTGACTCGCGTTACAGGACTTATGCGAAGTTTATTGATACTCGGTGCCCTAATTCCATTTAGTATCAATACAATAAGTATTTTTTCATACCCACTTAGTCTAGGAAAAAAAGGCAAATTTATTCATCCAGCATATCAAATGGACGATACCATTTGTCTTATTCGATGGATGAGTGAAACACAACAACGTCTTCGAATCTCGATGATTCCTGTACCAGTCATCAGTGGACCGACGTCAGGTGAAACCATAGAAACCGAAATCATAGAATGGGCAAGACAAGCACGTCGTTGGACTATTGGGATTGCAGAAATCTTTCATTACTTTATCATCAAAGCGAAGCGTATACCAACAATGGTAGCCTTATCTTGGGGCTGTCTCTTCACTATCTATTATGGAGTTCTGCTGTGTACAGCTGGCTTGTTTGGTTTAACATCTATGCTATCGATGATTCTACTCATCAGACATCTTCCACCAGTGATTACTTATGTTATGTATGGCCTCTTAGGTGTACAAATGCTAGCGTTTTTGGTTGCATTCATTATCGATGCATTCATTGTTCATTTGATGAATGTTCATCAACGTATTTTTATTCTTCGCAACGCATTTCATTTCATATCAACACCATTTGTACTCTTAGGTTATTCACTAGTAGGGTTCTATGCATTACATGAAGTGGTTATATTCGGCAGGAAAGTCTGTAAACATGGAGCATCAGAAAAGAATGTCTTAACCTAATCATCATATCTATCTCTGACAATTGTGCAATGCATCTCTAAAAGTGACTTTCAATCGGAAGATTCATCTGAGACTATTGAATCTTTGAGACTGTACCTATCAACTTTTTGCATGACACCCTTCCATTATTTATACTTTCAATAAATATAAACTAGCGTAGATCAATGATAAAACAGACCAACTTATATATTTAAGATACAAATCAATCTGCTAATCTCAACTTTTACTCTTCAGCAACCGATTATCTTGTCAAAATAATATTTCAAATATAAGTGATGTGCTTATAAAAATAATCAAATAAATGCAGAAATTAGCTTCACCGACGCGTTTCGTGTAATTTATTTGAAAATAAAAATACTCATCAGGGCTCTGCATAAAAAGGTTTTTAAGCACAAAGAAAAGAACTAGAAAAAACAGAAAAAGACGAAAAGAAAGAGGCAACCATGTATATTAAAGGTGGGGGTATGTAGAGCTACCACGATACTAAGGATTAGTATTTCATTGATGCTTAATGGAAATTACCAAGTGGCATGTATTTGTACAATTGATCCAAAATTTTTTTGACAAAAATCAAAAATTTTGTTAATGAAATACTAAAATTGGAATTGGTATTTAAGGTGAAAGTTTAATTATAAACTGAGCATTAAATGTGAAAAGTTAACAGGGAACTATATTGTGTTTACTTTTCGTATTTAGAAGAAAATGTTATGCCGTTGGAATTATGCTTCTTATTGTTGAATATTTTCCGTAGAAGTGGAAAATTTTTAAGTCATTGTAAGGAAAGTATTTTTTTAAAAGTATGTTCTTTATTCTGTATCGCGTACTGAATATAGTGGGGAAGCAGGATGTCGAAGGGAATCGAAAGTGTTTTAAGGTATTCACGGTAGCCCGACTGTCGATGTTTGACTGGTAGTAGTTTTTGAGGATCGTTGTAGAAATGTATGTTTAAACTTTGATGAATAAATTTGTGAGCTTTTGGATAAACTCTCACTACCAACTTTGGAGAAACAACGCTGTTGTAGATTCTTATGATGCATACTAGTATTGGAGAAATACGGTGGTTCGTCGCGGTATCTGCCGATTGTAATGCAAGAATGGTAGTTCTGAACGTAGCCGTTTGATCTTTTCGAATAATAAAAATGTAATCAATTGCCTTTTGTTAGTAAAAGGTGTTGCTTTGTGGAAGAAAATATGGCTTATGTGTATAATAAAATGCTATGGATTTTAGAAAAACGAAAGTTATGGTTGCGAGGACATAACGGAAGTATCTTTATTTGATAAATAGTTATTGATTGTAAAGGCAATTCTTCGAAATGCGAACTTAAATTTATGTAGAATGGCCCGTATCAATAACAGTCTTCTCTCTTCTACTTGCGGCTAGAATGAATTGAAAAGAAACAAAGAATTTATATCATCCTTATTGTAAGTAAAGTAAGAAACTACTTATGTTACACTCACCAGTGGGATTTTGATGCACATATGTTGTTTTTGATGAAAGGAATACGAGAAGGATTTTCTATATGATTTTTCGATTCCACCATTCATTTTCAGTATCACGCTGTTTGGTGCGTTTTTTGTGACTGGAGATATTGTCTTTATCGAAAAGTCTACAAACAATACGAAGAGGCTAAGAAAAATATGCCAGATGTATAAATTAAAATGATATTTTCTGTATTTACGATGGTGTCGATTGGATATTCCACTCTTAACCAGACTTGGGTATGTACTAACACTGGATTTTCCATAGAGATAATATGCGAACGTTTAGCAAAATATAAAGTGCCGAGAATCTAATTGAGTAATAGTAGATATCTACAATAGATTGAGAAGAAGTGCGCAGGATGAGAAAGAAAACAGTTCCCAATCACCAGTGATGTATTGTTTCGTTCTAAGCTGACAGTGAATACAGACACAGACACACAAGCTGGCAATGCTACTCTATAATTATTATCTAGTAGTAGAATACAGTGATGAAATTCGAATACAGAGTCGTTAAGTACAGTGACGATCTGTTTTCTAAACGTTTTTTTTTTGTATTTGTCGCGAAATGACACGTTCATGAACGTTCCAAATGCGCTTACCAATCGACTTTGTACGATCCACCATAGCGTTGTTCAACATTTGTGACAACTGGACAAATCATATTTAATTTGCTTTCGCCATGAATAATGAATAAAGTTTCAACAATGTATCGCAATATCTTTGATTGATCATCTGGCACTAAAAGAAAAAAGATTTCTCGAAAAGAGGAATGATAGATCTTGAGAAGCATACGTACGAATAGCAATAATGGCCATTTGATACAAATCGATGACATCATACGGTAGTTTTTGTACAGAAGCAGTGACAAATTGTTGGAAAAATAGACGTTGTTTTTGTATTTGTGGACGGGAAGAGCTATAGCCTTCAGGTGGTTTTGGTACAAAGTCCAAATGTTGGTCTACTCTATCCGTATCGGCGGCATTCAATTGCATTGCAGCAACCAATTGATCATCTTCAGTGGGATTTCAATGAAAATAGGCAACATTATCAGCAGAGGCATCTTGCCAGCGTAACGGAACAAAACACCAATAGTTTGGATTACAGTCGAGGAAAGTAAGAATTGCGACTGGACATTGTACTGAATGTTCATAGAGTCGCATCTTACTGATGATGGCTTTCGGAATACTTCAAAAAGAAGAAAAACAAAAACGAAGAAAATGAAAGAAAAAAAAATTATATCCTATCTTGATTTACTTTTGTGAATTATGAAAGAAGTCTGAAGCTTGCAAAAGAAGACTACCAGTTAATGCTTCATGCATAATATGATTACCATATTCTCGATGATCTATTCCATATACACAAAAAAAAATCATCCAATAGAAAAATTTCAACGACTTGAACCAAGTGAGAATACTTACAAGCCATAGCATCGGCTAATGTTCCTGATGTTGAATCCACATAATCATAATCACCGCAGGGATATTTCATCGTATAGATGATATTCGATGTAGTACACGTCTAAATTTCAAGAAGAAAGTATCAATATGGAGGGTGAGATGTCAGAGAAAGACTGCATTACAGCAGGACAATTGAGATAGGTCATATATCCAATTTGTAAATAGAATTCTAATGCTTGTGCCATTTGTTTTGAATTCAGTGTTGATTCTGGCAAAGCTATATCAGCCATATGGAGAAAATGTCGACGAAATGATTCATGCAATGCAAGAAGAGTACAACAAATACGATGAAGTCGATCAGCATTAAAGGTAATGATCGATTTGCCCACCTTTAAACGTCTCGTAAGTTCTTCCACATCTTCTTGTCATAAACTAAATATATCACCGTACTTGAACGTTTCCATCAACATCAGAGCCCCCGGTGTCGGTGCACCTTGTTCACGTCGAGCAATATCATTGGGTGCAAGATCAGATACTATCCAATTATACAAAGAATAATAAAAATCAAATCCATAGTTCGATAGAAAAATTCGAAGGACCAACCTGGTACATTAGCCAAAAGTAGATATTCATCTTTGCCAACAATTTTAGCTGGAAAGACGGGCAAATGGGAAAATCGACCATTCTTTTCCTTGTCTCCTAATGTTTTCGGTTGATAGTCATGTTGTTCTTCCGCACCTACTGACTTAGTAGACTGTTCCCCTTGTTTTAAATGATTTTTACTGAAGCCCATTTTGATGAAGGATTTTCACTTTTGTCAAAAAATTGAGTGCGTGATATTCAGTTACTCTATTGATATAAGATCTAGAAGAAAGAAAATTTTAACAGAAAATGATTTCTTAATGTTTTTCTCAAACGTTGAACGAAAAAATTCATAGTCAAACAATGTCTGTTAGAAGGAAAGCAATAACAATAAAATGGTACCAAAAAAGAAACGCAGTTCTTTGATGTGTTCGATTTCCTGGAAGAGAATTACTTTCTACAGCAGGTCACATTTTGTATGAAACATTTACGAAAGTTGCTCGATATAATATTATGCACGTCGGACCATATTGGTTTGACAATTTCCAATCGCTGCAAGAATTGCATCTATACTTAGTGTTTTGTTAAATTTTTTTCCTCGATGGGCTAATTTTTCTTTTTCCATGAAATTGACTGCGATCTTTTCGGCCACTGATGTTGCTTGTAAACTTAAATCATGAATAAATGTACTAATCGATGTTGTCTGAGCGATTGTCGATAACCATGGTTGATTAAAAAGAAGTTAAGCCAAGATCGAATGGATTTTTGGCAATGGTAATCCTTGAAAAGTGTCATAAGTCAAGAGAGACTGTTCGATGAGATATTTTCTAAATATTTCAATCTCATAACGAAGTTGTTGTTCATCATGCACCGCTTTCCAAATCACTTGAGCCGAATGAATCTATTTCAAATTTAAACGACGATGTCGGATATATTTCCTGAACATATAAATGCACTCACTTCAGTTTTTCTTGGTTTTAATTCATAGAAAGCATTGACCAATTGATGATCGTTAGCATCAAATTTAAGTAATATTTTTCGACGTTCCAGTTCATTTCGAAAATGACATTGATTCTAATTGACAAAGTCAGTCAGTATCAACATGACCTTTGGAATATCAAGGAAGGTCGATGCCTGTTTTATATGCTCTTCCATCTCATGAATGGTCTGTTCCATATGTTTTTCGAAATAGTTTTGACGTTGTTCAATCAACGCTTTTCGTCTTCCATACGACACACACACACATAGTATTGACGAGAGTCATTTTTTTCGACAAACATCCAGCCCAAATACCTTCCGTTAATCCCAATTGATAATAATAGGTCCATTGTTCATATTGTAATTTCAAGTAGTTAAATTTATTGATCAATTGTGCCAATTGACGTGAATACAATAATAGTTCTTCCTATGGAAAAATTTTCAGCAAATAATCTTTATCCGCACCTGTAATATTCGTAGAGAAGACTAAATCTTGAAAGTCTTTATTCGTCATTATTAAATAATCATTGAGATATACTTTTGGATCCATATTCGATTCACTATACCACAACATCATTGTACGTTTTTGTGAACCGTTCGGTAAAGTGAAGCTAGCATAGTTCTCCGGCAAGTTGAGATCAAGTCCGGAGTCGACCGCTGACTCCTTGGTATTGCATATTGCTTTCACATGACTATCTAGTTTCGAATATTTCTTTTGGAAATACTGTTTCCTCCGGACTTGTTGACGTGAACTCAAGTTCTTTTTCTTTCTTTTTTGCATTGCTGGTTGTTCTTGTTGTTGACCTTGATTTGATTGCATTCTTACGAATTTTTGAAGGAATTCTATCTAAAATGAAGAATAGAAGTAAACTTCATTGAATAAGAGTTCGAATGAAATAGGAGAAAATAAGTAAACATAAAGATAATCTAGAGTACTTTCTTGAAAGTAAAAAACAAAAGAACACACACGAACAATTCTAAAATGCAAATAGATTGTTTCCTTTCATGATTATGAGGTGGTCGTTGGTTGATTGGATTTTTGTTCTAAATAGACACGAAAGAAAGAAAGAGAGTTTTGTTTTACATTGGAAGCTGAAGGAATGCGAATGTTTACTTTTAGTTGGTTGTACCAGGTTGAGTAACGATGAGGGAGGATGTTTTCGTGTTAGTTCAGATTCAATATTGGGATTATTTCGATGGCCCACAATTAAACGTTTTTCTACCTGATTGGTATTTTTAAAAATATCATCATGAATTTCATGTATATGTCGTTTTGTACCTTCAAGTCTTGCTTCATGAGTACAATGAATGAAAATGTTATTTCGAAATGTCTCATCATCGTATTTCAAAGTTTTAATGTGTGCTTGTACAGATGTTTCTTGAGTGATGGTAGTGATGGTAGTGATGGTGGCAGCACGTTTATTGACTATCATTTGTCCAATGGATGGTTGTGCCAATAATTTTTCACGTATGATGAAAAATTACTGTTCATTGTCGATTAATGGTAAAATGGATGAAGAGATCGATAAATATTTTGTAAAAAATTCATGAAATTGAGTATTGATATATTTCGATGGATATCTAACAAATAAAAAAAGAAAGCACAACTAGTTATCATACGATATCCTATCGGAAGTCGAGAGAAATCATATACCCATTCAATAATAAAGTGAGACGAATACGACGTCGTTCTTCATTGAATGCTTCAAATGTCGAAGGATATAGAATCGCTCTCATCAATAAACTTTGTATGACATTTCGAAACACATGTCGAGGATGATCTGATAGAAATGATAAGAGACAAGGTTCAGCAGCTAATTTATGATAGACGGATGAAACGAGTACACCATTGTTATTGTTCAGGAGTACATCAAGAAATGAGACTGTTTTACTAATTGTATAAGTTAATTTAATATTTGGATGAAATAGATTGGCATTTTCTAACCATTCTTTCAATGTTGTTTCCGATTCGTTTGACGCCAAGAAAATATCATCAATATATCTAGAGAAAAAATTCCATGAATTTTATTCATGTAGAAGAAGTAAAAGTAACAAACCCGCCATAGAATTCATGGGAAGGTAATTTGGGAAGAATGGCTTGTCGTTCCTATTTCCACATAACTATATTGGCTAATGTTAGAGTAAAGGCAGAACCCATAGCACCACCAATAATTTGTCGATAGTATTTTTTACCATAGATAAAAGCATTGGTTTAAAGTACAATGCGAGCTAATTGTATAATAGTATCAATGGACATACCATTAATTCTTTCACAATGATGTACCTGAAGAAATTCTGCTAGAATAGCTAAAGATTCTTCTTGTGGTAACATCGTACAAAGATTGGTAATATCAAATGTCACGAAAAGTGTCGAAGAAGTAAAGTAACCTTTAGCAATATATTGATGTAGTTGAAGTAGAAGATTGACACTATCAATAATAGTCGTCGAGCGAACAAATAAAGGTTGTATAGATTGATCTAAATATTTTGAAATAGAGGTCGTTGCAGCATGTATCGTGTTGATAATAGGACGAAGTGGTGTTTCTTTCTTGAAGAAAACGAAAAATTGACAAGTGTGTAAAATAACGAAATATGATTCTTACTTTATGTGATTTCGGAAGAAAATAGAGGTATGCTAATTCGATTTTCTCTTTCTTTGGCATTAACTTGTTATGTTGAGATACACTAACTTTTTTCTCTGCTTGTAATTTATTTAATAATTGTATCACTTGATCAACAATCACACTCAATGGGTTCGAAGTCAATTCTTCATAAGCTCCTGTTTTCTGTCGATAATCGATGGCTTTTTCTTCATAATCACGAGCACAACCAATATGGAATACACCACTCTTATCTGTTTCACGTAGAATAAGTTTTGATTTTCTTAATTTTCTTCGAATTGATTTGATTAATTTTAATTCTCGTCGTGCACGTCTATGATCTCTTAAAGATAAGGGTGTCATATAGCGACGTAGTAGATAGGTTTGAAGTTGTGCCAAATAGACTTTAGATACCGCTGCATTTTGTCTTATACTGGATTCCTGACGAGATGGATCACACATCGTTCGTTTTATTTTCGTTAGAATATCATTTACTTCTTTGTCGACTTGTTTTTCCCGTTGACTACGTCGTCGTAGTGCACTTTGATTGGCTCTTATATAAAGTGGCCCTAGTTCCATAGACACATATTGAAGTAGTGTGAAAATCAATGTTAAGGAATAGGAGAAACAAATAATGCTTACCTCTGGAAAGAAAACCTAATTCCGCCTTGGTAGATGGATGCCGAATAAGATCAATAATAGTGGTTGGTGCAATTCTCACTAAATGTTTCTGCTTTGACTTCCAATGTCGATGACGTTGTAACAATTTACGTCGATAAATGAACATTTTTTGACCGTAAATATATTGTTTCTGGTGATCTACATGCTGATTGAGATAAAGAAGAAATGGATTGAATAGAGACATTCCAAAAATTTGTTTTTCGACTGATAAACAATTAGTCTTCAATAATGTCAACGTTTGCTGATATCATTCTTCCAAATGTTGATATTGAAGTTCATAAGCATGAAAATAAATATTCAGCCAAGTACGTTTGGTCTCTAGAATTAATTTACATTTTTCTTGCCTGAATTCTAAAGCAAATGAATTGTTCAGCGGAGGTCGATAGAGATTCGGTGCTATGAAATGCTCTAAATTTTCAAAATTCTTCGGTAAACATTCATTCAACACTTGTAGTTCTAATTTGAGTAACTGTTCCAAAATGGATAATTGTTGTTGTCGTATATCTACCAATGTATTCATGGGTGGGTGTGGGTGTGGGTGACTGTGTAGATCAGAAGAAGAATCACACCCACACATCCACACCCTTATCCACAAATGAAAGCATTTCTACAAGGTTATTTATCATTTTCTTTTATTGTAAAAATGTATATTTTCAGCTTTTATAGAAGAAAATTCAATGTTTCCATTTGAGGTATGTCAACAAGGTATAATTCTAATATCTGGTGAGTTTGGCGGTCTTGGACTTACAATGTCTCGTTGGATGATAGAGGAACGACGTGTTAAACGATTAATTATTATGAGTCGACGAACGTTGACTTAATTTGAACAATCTGACAATCCAGAAAGTGACGAATGGCAAAGACTGAAACGAGTAGCAAACGAATTTAGTGCACATATCGATGTTGTTCAAGTAGATGTAACAAATTTTGAAGATGTACGAGATCTAATCGAACGATTTAATCGAACACCGTATCCTATTCGAGGTATTATTCATAGTGCTGCAGTTCTAGAAGATCATAGTTTAATGAAATTAACTGAAGAAAATCTGACACGTGTCATGTGTCCAAAGATTCGTGGTGCTTGGAATCTTCATCGAGCATCACAACTTGCTAATGTTTCTCTTCATTTCTTTGTACTCTTTTCATCAATTCGTAATCATTTACTCAACTTTGCTGCGGGTAGTTACAATACTGGTAATCAATTTCTCGATATTCTTGCTTATTATCGTGTTAAACAACTGAATCTACCAGCTCTCTCAATTAGTTTACCAGCTGTCAGTGGTGCTGGTATGTTTCATCGACATCGTGACAGTTTTTCAAGTGTACAAACTACAATAGGCTTTGAATTAGTACCAACCGTTGGTGTATTTGAACTCATCGAACGATTTCATGCTAATCAAAAGAATAATCCTTGTCCTGTCATATTTGCTGTCAATTGGAAAAAGTTATATGAAAATTATCAAACATTAGTTACATATCAACTTCAAAAAATTGTATCAGAGAAACATGATATTAAAGATCAATTAGCAACATCAAAAGTATCATCAAATCATGTCGGCATTGGCAATTTAATCTACGATTGCTTAGAAACTATTATTGAACGAACACAAATAACTGTGGCATGACTACTCGGCGCAACAAATGTTGATCATATCTCAATCGATCGTTCACTTATTAGTCAAGGTATGGACTCATTAGCTGCTGTATCACTCTACCAATGGATTGGTCAACAGACAAATATTTTTATTCCATTGGTCGATATTCTACAAGGTATTTCAATACAATCAATTGCAGAATATGTCTATCGAAAGATCAACACAACAAATTAAAATAATGTTACATTAAATGTCACATAACAAGACTCATTTGTTAATCCACTTGAAAAAGATGAATTGGAAATATCGAATAATTTGTCATACACAGGTACAGAGAATATTCTATGCCTTCAACGTCCAATCAATTGTAATATTAGGCTGACAACAAAGTTTTTGCGTTCTTTTCAAAAATTTTATTTTTATTTTTTAACTTCAATAGTAAAACTAGCTTTCAGTTATATATGCATCACTACTATCTATGACTTGTCGCCAACGCTCTGGCAGAGATAGGATCCCGTGTTCGTAGAAGTCCTGGGACTTTTGACCAAAGAAGTTGGCGATATCCATTTTGACGTCGTTCTCGTCGTCGAACTTTTTCTCACGCAAATGATGAGAAAGAGATCGAAACAAATGGTAGTCCGTTGGAACCAAGTCAGGAAAATAAGGTGAATGAGGAATGGTAATCCATCCGAGCTTCAATAATTTTTCGCAGGTCGACTTTGCAACATGCGGTCTTGCGTTATCATGCAAATAGTAAATTCGATCCTGCTTTCCCTTGAGTTTTTCGGCAACCCAGTCCAATTGTTGACAGTAGAGATCAGCAGTGATGGTACAACCATTTGGAAGAACTTCCCAGTGGATAATTCCATTGACACCCCACCAAACGCTCAGCAGCACCTTCTTGGGGTGTGTATCAGTCTTAGGTGTTGCTACGCCTGTTTGACCAGGGCTTAGCCACTGGCGTCTGTGCGTGTAGTTAATATACAACACCCACTTCTCATCACCGGTGATAAGATTGCGGTGCCATTGATAGTTGCGGTTAGATGTCATTAAATCCATACAAGCATCAACCCTGTATTGAAGTTGATATGGTGCTAACTCATGGGGTATCCAAACTCCATATCTCCATGTTTTGCCTAATTCGTTCAGATGTTTTTTCACCGCAGTATGAGAGCACCCAAGCTGCTCTGCTAAACACCGTGAAGTCAATCGAGGATCTTGTTCGATAAGCTGCTTTAAGAGATCCACATCCACTTCCAGTGGTCTACCGGGTCGAGGTAAATCATCGAGTTCTAAGTTACCGTTCTTAAAGCGATTGAACCATTGTTGTGCCGTACGCATAGAGAGTACATCCTCGCCCATCGTGCTGCATATGTTGTTGGCTGCTTCCGTTGCTTTGTGAGCCAGACGGAATTCATGAAGTAAAAGCACTCGAATCTCTCTACGAGAAAGATTCATTTTCAGTTCATGATCAGCGTCCATATCGATGACTTTATTATAATTCGAAAGATATTCACACTCCATTTATATACCCTTAGTATGGAAACTTCTAGAACTTTCTCGAATGTTTTAGAACATTTTCAAAAAAAACGCAAGAACTTTGTTGCCAACCTAATATAATATACAGTAAAAAAGAATTCATTACACGTTGCAGTTCCATAAATTCTTTACAAGTTTATGATTCTACGCTTCTTCACGGTGATCTGCTGTTTGCTAAGCCTAAATGAAAAAAAATAAAATAATTTTATAAATATATTCTTACCATTATATCTATTTTTCGTATAAATCTAAATAAAAAAAATGATTTAATGTGATAAATCAATACTTATTATTGGATCTCGTATTGAGATTGAAGGTGTTGATCTACCCTATCGTTCATAATAACAAAGCCTGTTAGCGCAGCTAACTCACATATTCTTTAGTCTCATTGTACTAATAGAAAATGGACTAGAAGAAATATCTTTAGCAGACTATAACTGTTTTTCAACATAGTCGATCTCCAGACAGTCGATATATCTTATTGGTTTCTGCATTTCGAATAGAATTTTCTTTTTCTTTTTATATACTGACGCTCTTCTGTTTTTTTTTACTTTTACGAATTTCGTTTAACTTACTTTAAAATTGTTATTATTCTGAACATTAAATTAATTGACGAATAAGTCTGTTGTAAAAGTTTATTATATCTACATCAGCATTTTTCGACACCCTATTATACTTATCTCGATAAGGTCACAAACTCTAATATTGATCATTTTCCGAAGTCATGAATTAATCAAGTGAAACACTTTATGCAGATCTTTTGACGATTGATAAATCAATTTATCATTGCCCGCCATTGCTTACATTTTCAATAGAAATTTTTATATGCGCAAATATCAAAATCTACACTATTTAAAATATTAAAAAACGTATTAGAATCACTTAAAGTTCGAGAAAAGCTTTGAAATGTTCTAGAACAGTCTGTGGACGGACCTTCCACTTTTCGCAGAAAATCCGATTGAAATTGATTAGAATTTACAAATCGATAGAAAAATCATCGATTTCACCAATTATTCATGATTATCTTGCCTATAATCCAGCTTCCGACGATAATCGATTTTAATCTTTTTAATCGATTAAAATCTCAATAAAAAAATCTGATTCAGAGATTTTTATTGGATAATTAGCTTTTGTTATGATAGTAGTTTTATTTCAATCGTTAATCAATTTTGAAGATGTTGGAGAATATCAGTAAGGTCTATACAAAACCAAATGATTTGAACTAACGCGAGACATTTTGGGCAGAATTTCAATTACTATCAAGATTACGGTAGATAAAAATGTTATATAATATTTATTAGGATAGAAGTTCTAGAACAAACATAATATACATGATTATGAACAATATTAGTGCTCTTTTCAGAACGTAATTTAGATAAAATAACCCGATTAGAATTGCTTTTGATCAATAACGCGTTCATCCGAAACATGAATCAAGTTTAACCGATTCCAAACAGTGCTAATAAGGTGAAACTGATTATTTTCGTAAGTGGAAGGTACCCATAAGACGAGTAAACCTGTGAGAATACAAATTGCAAAAAAATTTTATATACAAAGAAGTACTACATAGAAAGAGGTAAAAGTATGCATACAGATGATAAAAATATTTTAATGAATTTGAACCCTTTTTTAAATTATTCACCGG